CATCCGCCAACTACCCCTCTAATTAGACGTACAACAACATCTTCTGGTAGGAATCCCAGCATGTTAACTCATTGATTGACTATTTTATTGTTTATATGTGAACAAAAGTAAAATGATTTATTTTTTGACACAGGGCAAACCACAGGTGCTGCAGTACCAAGAACTACATTACGACCGACAACCACGTATCCAACGACAACTAGTTCGAGGACTACTCATCCTCCCGCAACTACCACTTTGTTTAGACGTACGACGTCTTCTGCAAGTAGGTTATAGCCTTAGTGTCCAAAACAAGTAATTTACTAGTGTATTGGGTATATGTATGCAAAAGTAAAACGATTTATCTTGTAGAAATAGGGTAAAGAACATCTGTGGTTGTACGATGAATAAACCAAGTATCAACAAACAATTTGTTTGTGGACGACCCGTATTTCTGCTACTACCAGGCAGGCTATAGTCATGTGTGCAATATCAAGTATTGAATACCGATTTGTTTTAAGTGAACAAAAGTAAAATGATTTATCTTTTCAACACAGGACAGACAACAACTGTCGCTTTACCAAGAACCACTTTACGACCGACTACCACGTATCCAACGACAACTCGTTTGGGAACGAATACTCATCCGCCAACTACCCCTCTAATTAGACGTACAACATCTTCTTCTGGTAGGGTATAATCTCAACATGTAAACTCATTGATTGACTATTGTATTGTTTATATGTGAACAAAAGTAAAATGATTTATTTTTTGACACAGGGCAAACCACAAGTGCTGCAGTACCAAGAACTACATTACGACCGACAACCAAGTATCCAACGACAACTCGTTCGAGGACGACTCCTCCTTCGGATACTACCACTTTGTTTAAAGGTACAACGTCTTATGCAGGTAGGTTATAGTCATGTGTGCAAAATAATGTAATAAATGCAGTAAAGTTTTAAGGTGTACAAAAGTAAAATGATTTATTTTTCGATACAGGGCAAACAACAACTGTTGCAATACCAAAAACTACATTACGACCGACAACCACGCATTCAAGGACAACTCTTTCGAGGACGACTCCTCTTTCGACAAGTACCCCTCTACTTAGACGTACAACGTATTTTTCAGGTACGTTATTGACGTTTTGTGCGAAAGATGGATTGATGGTGTCAAATAACTATCATAAATTTTAAAAGAAAAACTTATGTATTTATATATTACTTTGTCTTGTAGGTAAAAGTGTTGTTGTCACATTTTCAATTACAAATGTTG